GAAATACATAAGATTCCCATTAAATTTAGGTTCATTACCGGAGCTGAAAATAGTAGCTTTGAACCACTTTCTATGGAATTAACTAAAACTCTTTTATAAGAAACCACTTCATAAAATACAATGATACAATCAAAAATAGAAACACTTCTTTCATAGGTTATTGGGCTATTAATAATATTGATATTAGCGAACAACTAAAAAACCTACAATGGAATAACATGAAACTTTTTTCAGCTGATTTCACTAATATGTTTAACAATTACCACACACCAACATAATGCAAAATATCAAAGAAATACTCAAAATTTGTTATAAAAATAGTAATAAAAAGTATATATAGCTAATAATAATGGGAAGACCTTCTACACTGACATTACTACTATACTATACCATAGAAGATGTAATTTACCTTATAGAGTATTTATTGAATAACAGCTACTGTGAATTCTCGGAACACCTTTTCATTCAAAAAATAGGAGTTCCACAAGGTAGTAATGTTAGCCCCTTACTTGCAGACCTTACACTATCCTATTATGAATACTTATACTCATTAAGTGATCATGACGGTAGTAATTTAAAATTAAAACCGTTTCGATATATAGATGACATTTGAATAGTACATAATACAGATGTACAAACAATATCAAATAAACTTGAACATAGTATATAATAACATCCTTAAATTAGAAATCACACACCATAGTGAATTCAAGTGCAACTACCTAGATTTAGAAATAATTGTTGAGTTAGATAAAATTTCTACAATAACGTACAATAAAACAGAATACTTTTACTTCCCAATTAAATGTTTTCCTAATTTTAACACTATTCTATCACTAAAAATAACACATTATATTCAAAAATATTGGGAGTTGCACGAGCAACTACTAAAAGAAAAGATTTTGTCGAAAGAATTGTCGAAGAGAACAAACAATTGAAAGAATCAGGCTACAATATAAATACAGTATTTATTTGCCTAATAAATGCATTATTAAAAACCAATTCATTAAGTATAAATTTGACTTACATAACAAAGAACTTATAACAATGTTCAAGTAAAAAAGCAGTAATGCACTTACTCTTTTTCGGCGATGATCCATTGCGTCATCCATTAAAATTACCTGTAATGAAATAGATTACCTAAAACTACCTTCTTTTTCATTAAACAGTACTTTCAGTTACCTTTGTATAACAAACACAGCGGCCGCGAAGGCCCCGTTCATACTTTGAGAATTCGGCGAAGATGCGAAGATGCGATGATGCGACCAAGCGATTCTATCAAATGAAGTGAGTGCATATCGATTGACTCGACTCCGCCCTATAGCGTCACATGCGAGAGCGCGTCTGGATTTCAGCGATCGCGCGAGGCGAAGATGCGAAGGGGCGACCAGCGTGGAAGGATAAGATACGCGTCGACAGATAAGATGCAAGTCTATGAATGAATCACTGATCTTTCTTTGTTTCGCTGCTACTGCTGTTATTACTCTTTTCTTCTACTGTCCATTACTTTTCAAGATCTATTTATTGACATGTCGCCGTTAAAGTATTCTATTTTCGATAATCTTCTCAATCTGCGTTGTTTTCCCTCGGAAACTCTTTAAACATCAATAACGGTTCATTGATTGATTCCTGAAGCGTCGCGGCGCGTGCGTCTCTTGTGCGAACGTGCTACCAATCGCTTCTTCGCATCTTCGCCGAATTCTCAAACTATGAACAGGCCCGAATGGAATAGAGAATAAAATGAAGTGAGCAAATAAAGATGAAGATAAATATAAGAATGCATGATAACATAAACAGCTACCAGAGACTGGTCAAAACAAGTCAAGATCATTTTTATAGTTATTATACTTACATATTGAGTGACTGTGTCGCAGCAAGTCACTTCTATTCACATCCATGAATATAACCTTATATATGCATGCATATACTCATACACCTATACATCTACTTGTATATGGCTTATAGGGCGGAAGTGGTGTAGTGGCAAGTGGCACGCTTACCACGCGAGCGGTCCGGGGATCAAATCCTGGGTCGTGAGTCGCCCGGGCCAACCAAGCCTTCCATCCCTCCGGGGTCGGTTAATTGGTACCAGACTTGTCTGGGAGGATAAAAACACTGACTTGTACATCGGCTGGCCCCCGCAAGTCATTGTATAGGCCACATCGCATTCAAACGCCACTACGAATGTACAAATGGAAGTAGAATGCGTGCCGCATCGATCAACGAAATGCTTTATCCTTTTATTTATGGCTTATCTATGAATCTGTACAAAGATCAATATAAGTTCAAGAAGAGTGAATAAGCTAAAAGATAAGAAAGGATGAAAGAATTTCGCCTAGAAGTATTTCAAATGCATGTGTAAGTCAATTATATATAAAAGTTTTATATACATATAAAGCAGTAGCCCCACATAATGATAGCAAAACATTTCTATCAATTATCAAAATGCAAATTTTATTGAATTCATTGAAAGTAAATTTCATGTTCATATTTCTTCGATATTTTCGCAGTTTTTTATTTATTCTTCGTCTGATTTTTTTAAAAGCTCGGTGGGCGCTACACACGCTTATTCAGCATCTTTTCACACGGCAACCGACACCAAATTGCAAATGGAGCTCATATCTTTCATTTTGATATCATCTTTGGGATTGTAATTGGTCTCTTATAACTGCTTCAGAAAAACTACTTGATATGTTGGTAATAATCAAAAAGTCTCTGTGCATGGAGGCGAAAAACCTTTAATGGAAAAGAAAGTCATACAAGCAGAAGTAGGTCAATTTACAATGAAGTGAACAATTTTGAATTCCTTTCAACTGGTGTCTCGCTAAATTGCTGAACGTTAAGTTTGTCGCCGACTAAGAGTTTGGGAGAGCCGTGAAACGAGATGAGTTGGCATTGTATATGAGATGCTCATATACAATGCCAGAAAAGTTTCCTTAATCCTGTCTTCTTCTGAGGCCTACAGCAGAGCCCAGAAGGAGATTCCAGAACATTCCTGACATTAACACATGGCGATTATGTGATTTTCCTATGTTCAATGAATAATCGCAATGCTGGAGCGCCCCACTACAGTCTACATGCCAACAGAATTGAAAAACAATGTTAATGTTGTAACCTCGTTCGTTTCAAGCCATTGCCGATTTCCTTCGAACCAGCCGGAAATGTTCTCGCTCATATAAGAGGAACTCAGGAACAACTCTGAAATTTAACTCCGCCATTTCAAATCCCGTTAAAAAAAGGGTACAAGCTTTTTTTTCTGAAAATGGTGCATAATGTCTGATAAATGGATAACTGCCACGCTGATTGGTCACACATCCGATATCTACTCAACGTTGTTACTTTTCGAAAAT